AAGTAGCAACCAAGCTTGCAAAGAGCAAGAGGGAAGAGCACCCTTTCAGAAGGCACATGTGCAAAGGTTCTCACAGGAGGAAAAAGCTCAGTGGGCTAAAGTAACAGAAAGAAGGCCAGTATGACTACAGCACAGGGGGAAAACTGCACTAACTGTAAACAAAGGCAGAGTAAGTTTTGGTGAGGGCTTGATAAAGATGCTGGATTTTATTCTAAGTGCAGAAGAAAATCTTTAAAGAATATTTAAAAGAATGACGGCTGGTCCGACGGTAGTTGGTCATCAGAACTTATTAACATTAGTGTCACTAAAGCTGGTATACAACCCCCCACTGCTAAATTTGACTGGCTTTTAGAAAAAAAAAAAAAAAGTAAAAAAGAAAAAAAGAATGACACAAACAGATTTATGTCTTTTACTCTGAGCAAAAAGTGTTAAGATTTGCTCAAAAGCAAGGGGTGGGGGATAAGCAACTAATACAAGACTAACATTAACTACTAACATGACAGAGTGAGGAAAAACGTTTTGTGGCAGTGTTCAGTGGGGAATTCAGAAGCATGATACCTTTGAGTTGCCTGTGAGACAGCCAAGAGTTATGTTGAGTAGCAGCTGGATTTAAGTCCAGGGGCTAGAAGTTAGAAATATTGACCAAGTTATTTAAACTTACCTAGAGTATTTATAAAATATAAATCAAGAGGCCACACTCTAGATCAGGCGTCCCCAAATTTTTTACACAGGGGGTCAGTTCACTGTCCCCTCAGACTGCTGGAGGGCTGCCACATACTGTGCTCCTCTCACTGACCACCAATGAAAGAGGTGCCCCTTCCTGAAGTGCGGCAGGGGGCCAGATAAATGGCCTCAGGGGGCCACATGCGGCCCACGGGGCCGTAGTTTGGGGACCGTAGTTTGGGGACACCTGCTCTAGATCTACTGAATAAGGGTTTGCACTTCATTAACATTGTCAAGTGATTCTGATGTCAACTGGGGTCCAGGAACCACTTATGTAATAAATTTTATGTTCTATTTCATCGCCTAGGGATATACCGCTTTATAAAGCAAAGAATATATTGAGCAATATGTTATGAAAATGATTTGACTTAATAATCCCAGAGCTATTTAGGCTCCTCCAGTCATACAATATTATAGAGGAAACACTTCTAATTAGCCATTTTTTTCAAATGACATCTATTGAAGGCCATTCTGAAGGTGAATAATTTCTTCTATTTTACAAATATTTTCTTGCAAAACACCCATGAAATATCTCACAAATTAGTACATCAAGGTTCAGAAAGGTGGAGTCTTGTCCAAAGTACACACAATCAGTAACAAAGCCAAGATTCAAAAATCAAGACACTAATTCCAATCTGCATTCCACCATACAAAAATGCCACCCATCCCCAAAAAGCCCATCATCTGTGACAGGTACAAAAATAATTTTAACTAGATTAAAAAAAAGAATGAGGCCGGGCACAGTGGCTCATGCCTGTAATTCAAGCACTTTGGGAGGCCAAGGCGGGCGGATCGCAAGGTCAAGAGACCGAGATCATCCTGGCCAACACGGTGAAATCCCATTTCTACTAAAATACAAAAATTAGCAGGGCATAGTACTGAGAATCTGTAGTCCCTGCTATTTGGGAGGCTGAGGCAGGAGAACTGCTTGAACCCGGGAGACAGAAGTTGCAATGAGCTGTGATCACACCACTGCACTCTAGCCTGGCACCTAGCGACAAAACAAGACTCTTGTCTCAAAAAAAAAAAAAAAAAAATATGAGTACCATAAGGGAAACAGGACAATAAGAATTAAGCAAAAATTATTTCTTCATTTTTTAACTGCAGAAACTATATATTCCACCACTCATCCACAAACGCTCCTCAACAGACAACCTAAGTGTTTGAATCATACACAAAAAGTCCTGGACTGTTTCCTAACTCACTGTACAATCTCTCCACAGATTTAGGCACTTTTGGGGGATATAAATAAAAGGAAGCCTGTACAGTGACTTTGGCTTCAGAAAGCTCTGTGTAGACCCCAGCTCACAATCTACCCACTAACAGCAAAACCTTGTGAAGACATGAGGTTAAAGAACCTATACATATACTTTTAAAATAGTCATTATCACGTACAGTTATTGTAAGAGCATGCAAATAGTAACCTATGGGTCTGAGATTTTAACACAAAATGTTGGATTCTGCTTTATTTTAGGTATATACTTCAAACTATCTATCTTCCTTAATTCTGTGCTACTAGTGTGTTTCCTAAAATGTTTACGAATCCTGTTTGCTGACCACACTGGTCTAGGATTCATCCCTCAACTACAAGATCAGGGTCCTCTTTACTTACCCTTTCCTAACAGTTCTACAGCTTTTAACAACTCATTACCCCCGGGGGCTAGATTTTTAAGTTCCTTGAAAGCAGAAGCTGTGTCTCCTCCAATTCTCATTCATTCATCTGAGTACCACCATGTATGTGCTTTACACTAATCTAGGTCCTAAGAAAACAGCAGTGAACAAAACCGAATTCCTGCCCTCTCAGAGCTTATACTTGAATAAGACAGACATAAAAACAAATAAATAGATATCAGTTAGGAATAAATGTCATACTATTTTAAAAGGGGGTAAGTGGGTTACCAAGTGTTGTGAGAGCTGGGGAAGTTGCTATTTTACATAGAGAAAGCCTCACGTATATGAGAACCTGCAATAAATGAAGCAGCCACACAGGTATCTGGAAGAGTCATCCAGACAGAGGGAAAAGCAAGCACAAAGGCGCTGGGGCAGAAACATACTTCTTGTGTGGCAAGAAGAGTAAGAAGGCAAATATGTGTGTGGTTCTGAGGACAGAGACACATGAGAGCGCAGGCTCTGAGAGCAGAAGAATGACATGATCTGAAAGAATCACAGAGGCTTCTGTGTGGAGAATAAAGAACAAAAGCAGTGAGCCTCATTAGAGCACTGCAATAATCCAGGAGACAGAATGGTGACGAACCAAGGAAATGATGATGGCAGTGATGATGATGGTGGTAGTGGTGGTGATGGAGAAGGAGGTGGAGGTGCAGGAGGAGGAGGAGGAGGAGGAGGAGGAGGAGGAGCAGCAGCAGCTGGAGTCTGGTTAGGTTTTGAAGATAGAGCCCACAACATTTGCTGAAGAACTGTATGTGAAGAAAGAGAAACAAAAGAATCAATGAGAGTTTTTAAAAGGTTTGGGAAGTGTGGGATTCCCATTAGGATAAGGAAGTCAGAAGCAATCTCAGAAAGTGTCTAATACTTAGTAGACACTCAAATATTTGAGAATTCAGTTTAACTTAACTCCCAAAACGAAGCAAGTAAACTCAATGTATTGGTTTCCATTTGCTCTAATATTCTTTGAGTAACATTTGCTAGTTACACAAAGAGACTTAATCATGACCACACAGTTTACTCCAAGTGTTAACAAAGAAATCTTATACTGGACCCAGCAACTAATCCTCACCTCTCAAAAATCATTTTCAGATTTAAATCTACGATTCTTCTGGACATAAAGAAATCCGTTTGGAAAGTTTTGTGACAGCCTGAGGATTCTTACACCCAAAGTAATTAACCTGTACATTAATGATGTCGTATTCCTGGAAGGTATAGTAGTGCAAATAGAACTCCCTAGGCCAGAATTAATTGAAAATTATAACACTTCACGATAAATTTTCAGAATGCAACAAGACTGAACAAGTCCCCCTAATAGGCCACAAGACATCAGCATTTCTTAATGGCTTTTTTAAAAAACCTCAAACAATAAGTCCCTTCAAAACAATTTCAATGAAAAATGTGAATTTGTTTCAGAATGTGAAATGCAGCACATCTTTCCCCAAGCAGACACTTTTTCTGCCAATTAGTGAAACTAAGCTTCACTTAGGGAAGAATTGGGTGCCCTCACCTTTTGCACTTCTCAATAGTGGTATTCCTAAATTTTCTAACTCAACACCCTGTGTCTAGCTCCACGAAGAACCCCAAAGTTAGCAGAAATATATTCAAAGGAATTCTCCTAAAATAAAAAGTTCAGATCCTTTCCACCCCTCCGACTACTTTCTAAAATTTTATATGAAGCTTTAAGTATCATTTCTGTCCACATGAGTTTCCCTAACGCCCCACCTAACCTAAAACGCTTTACAAACTGCAATTAACAACTTGCAATGTCGCTTTAAAAACACAGATGATTCAGAGGAGCTGATCGCACCGAATTCAGCAACAGGCAGTACTCTCCCTACGCCTATCCGCCAAAGGCCTTGAACCAACCCAAACAAATCCGCTGAAATGCCAGCCAGATTCCCCGTATCTCCCCGCTCCCTCCCCCAGGGAGGCCAGGAAGCACCACGGCCACCCGACACCGGACTGAAGAAAAAAAGAACCGCTGGGAACGAAACACAACGGTTTTGTAGAGGCAGGAAGGTTCCAAGCCGGGTTTTCCACCACCACGCAGGACCAAGAACGAGCCCGGACGACCCCCCCCCAACACACACACTCAGAGCAGAGCCGCACGGTCCCCGGCGCTCCCGGGGCTCCGCACGCGGATTAGCGGCGACGCGGCGGGCCGCCTCTCCGGGGAGCCCGGGGCGAGGGCCGCGGCGGGGGCGGGCAGTGCTGGGCGCCCCCGGGACCCAGCGTGCCAAGGATGGATGCGGCGTCCCCTAAAGGCGCAGAGCGCTCGGCGCCTGCCACAGAGCCCCACGGGCGGGGGGCCCCGGCGGGGACGGCCTAGCCCGGTGGCCGCGCGAGGGACGCCCCCCGAGGAGGAGTCTAGGACGCCGCCGCTTCCCAGTGAGCGGGCGGGGGCGGCCGGCGCGGGCTCCCGTGGGCTCGTGGCTTGTTTCATCGCCGAAACCCGGGAAGCCCCGAAGACAGGAGCGGGGAGCACTCCCCGAGGGGGCGCGGGGGTGCTCGGGCCGAGCGGGTGGCGGCCCCGGGGGGGACGAGAGCCCCGGGAAAAAGAGGAAGAGGGCGCGACCCCAGCGCCGCCCGCTCCCCGCCCCCACACTCACCATGTAGAGGGTGAAGGGCAGGCCCAGCAGAAACAGCCACAGGTAGAGGTGCAGCGCGTTCACGAAGGTGGCCTGGTGCGGGTCGTAGTACCAGCCCCCGCTGAGCGCGGCCCACACCCCCTGCCGGAGGATCTGCAGCGTCTGCGACCCCATCCCCACCCGGCGCCGCCGCCGCCGCCGCCGCCGCCGCCGCCGTCCCCGCCCCGGCCCCAGCTCGGCCTCGGTCGCCGGAGCCTGCAGCTGCCCCGTCTATCCCCCTCCGGAGCTCCGGGAGGGCCAGGCGGCGCCTCGGCGGTCGCTGGTGCTGCTGCAGGAGGAGGAGGAGGCAGCGAAAGAGGAGGAGGAGACCCGGGAGGAGGAGGCGGCGAGCGGCTGGGCGGAGGACGGCGGAGAGGAGGAGACCGGCCTCCTGAGCGCCGCCGCCATCTTGTCTCCTAACACCCAGAGCCGCGGCCAGGCCCCCGCCACCCGAGGCCCGCCAGCGCCCCCGCCGCCGCCGCCGCCGCCGCGACCCCCGCCGGCCGCCAGCCCTGGGCCAGGCGGAGAAGGAGGCCCGGCGCCCGGGAGCGACGGGAAGGAAGCCGCGCCCCCTCCAGCTCCTCCCCTCCGCTGCCTCCGCCCCCTGGGCCGGCTCCCCGCCGGTGCGTGCCGCGCCTGGGCCGCCGCGGGCGCCTCCTGTCGACGTCCCGGAGAAGCGCGTGCCGACGCGGCCGGGGGTCAAGGCCCGGGAGCTGCGGAGGTGGCGGAGACGCGGCGGGATTCTGCCCCTGGACACCCGCTGGCAAGCTCACCTTCCAGACTCTGAACGGGGTCTTTCCTACTCCGAAACTAACAGCTGCTGACTCCAGAAGTGTCCTGGCTGTCATTTACGATATTTATCAAAGACCTGAGACCAACTGAAGCTAATGTCTGAGATACTCGCTGAAGGCCCGGAAGCATTGGGTACGGCAGATGAGACTGTTGAAAAGTCACAAACGCACGCAAGTTGAGCAAGAACTGTGTCGGCCCGTGTGTGAAAGAACAGCCATGTCCAGATTGGGAGAATGTACTACTTCCAAAGACAAGTTAATAGAAGTGGCACGAGACATGAAAGTACGGAGTGGGCAGGTTATCATTTGTACTCGGTGATTGTATTTTTAAATGTGCTGTAACTAGTAGCCATTTTTATCAATGGGCCAATCTAAACAGGGTTGAAAAAGATTAACTGATTCTACCTCAAACTACAATAGTGTCTTGCGGGTCTCTCTTTTTATAGCTGTAAAAACGGAATCATTCTTGGCTCTGTGTAATGTTTATAAGGCGTGTCTGATCTCATTGAATAAAATTTTCTTAAAAAGAGTTTGAAGTTTGAGTTTATTGAAGTTTGACTTTTATGGCAATAAAAGTACTTTGTATTCCCAGATTAAAGTTGCTATAATTAATGAGGGAAACGAGAGCCAAAGGAAACTAGTAATATTTTAAGAAGAGTAATGAAAAACCATCACGATACCTCCCAGTGCCATACCACTTTATAGCTGCTCAAACACTATCACACCCATTTCATTCAGAACTTCAGGACGATCCTCTGAGGGCAGCATAGCACCTGTTGTTATTTTATGGATGAGGGAACCTAAACTCAATTAGGTAAGTGATTGTCCAAGTGCTTATAGCCATTTACTGCTCATAAGCAAAAAGTGGTTGAGAACTCTAAAACCAGCAGTCACCATAACTGCATGAACTGAACTTTGGAAGTTCATTCCTCAAGACTCTCCACCTTACTCATTTCAGGTAAAAGTCTGAACTGATTAAGAACTGCTCAGCACTTTCTGGTTATCTGTGACTACCTTAAATATATGAGCAGTTGTCGTCAAAGGGCAAATTCTTAGGGCAGCGCTCCATGGAAACTCTGTGGGGTGTGACCCAGCAATCTGTTTTAACAAGCCCTCTGGAGGATTCTAATGTACCTTAAAGGTTGAAGCTACCACTGCAGAACACCATACCATCCCTAGCCTTGATTTGTTTATCTCCTTAAAATCACAAGACCACTGAGTTCCAGTAAGATATCTTGAAATTGAGAGACGCAAGTAAACACTGGACAAAATACACTTTAAAGTGTATTTGTGGCCGGGCGCGGTGGCTCAAGCTTGTAATCCCAGCACTTTGGGAGGCCGAGGCGGGTGGATCATGAGGTCGAGAGATCGAGACCATCCTGGTCAACATGGCGAAACCCCGTCTCTACTAAAAATACAAAAAATTAGCTGGGCATGGTGGCGCGTGCCTATAATCCCAGCTACTCAGGAGGCTGAGGCAGGAGAATTGCCTGAACCCAGGAGGCGGAGGTTGCGGTGAGCCGAGATCGCGCCATTGCACTCCAGCCTGGGTAACAAGAGCGAAACTCAGTCTCAAAAAAAAAAAAAAAAAGTGTATTTGTATATCTAAAAGCAAAAATATGATTAAATAATGCACTTTTACAATTAAAATAGTAGCCTTGAATCTGGTGTCATAGATACCAGCTATTGCCAAGTTTTCATTTGTTTCCCCTTAAAGGAGACAGGAAAGCTCTCTGAGAAGGTTTTGGAAGTAATCCCAACCTTTCTAACACAAAGGAAGGTGTAAACAAGGATAAAATTCCAATACCACATCACTTTCCACACCAGCAAAGATCTGCTAGGGTTTAATATAAAAGGATTAACTGTAATGAGGGTGAGGTGGATGGGGAAAAATGGAAAGTAGAACCAGACAGATGTATGCAATTGGAGGCCAACCCAGCTGGCGTGATAAACGTTCAGCCAGAATGCGGTATCTGGAGGATATGGAACAGGCAGCAGGCCAGGAAGGCAGCCGGCATCAGGCCTGTTAAACAGAGAATGTGGGTGTTGTAAGCCAATGGACAGCTGGAACACCCAGCCTTGGAAAATCCAGGAGTGGGCAAAAATTGGGAAATCATGGCAAGCCTTGAGAAAATGTGTTGCTTATAGCAAGGCCCCAGCTTCAGTGCTGGGGTTTTCTAGGTCTTCCCTCTAGTTTCTACAGGGAACTGATGAAAATAAATAGAATTCAGATCTTAGAGCTACTAGGCAACAAGTTTGGGGACCCAACAGAACAAATATCCAAAGGCTGGATCTGGGGGGACAGAGTGAGACTTACAAACAAAGCGGGAGCTTGATACCTAGAACTAGGACTAAATTTCACACTGATCGTGGTTGCCTTATGCTGAAGTCCCAAAGTGTTAATATAAAACTCTAGTTGCCCTCCAAAATGACTGGGATTGATCCCAGAACCTAGAGGTGGGAGTCACATGGCAATAGCCAGTGGGTGGAAAGGGGTTAGCAGGATGGCAGGCCCAGAGAGTGGAAAAGGCAGTTAGAGACTACATCTTTCAGCTCTGAACTGGTAGGCACGTATTAGAAAAAATGCTAATTAACTGACTTAGAGAGTAGCAATTGAAAATATCCAGTGAAAAAGCTGACCTTTCCAAATGACTGACTCAGTCACTGGGGTGAGGGGGAGAGAAACAGTCCTACAGTGCTCTCCGTAGCTCTCAAAATGTTTGTGAATGCTGCCACAACAAACCTCGTATTTTATAAACTAGAAGCTAAGGCACAGAGAGGTTAAATGGTTTGTCCAAGGCAGCACACTCTATCATGCCCGTAAAGAGCAGGACAAAAATCCAGGGAACTAATTTTGCTAAGTGTTAACCCTCTTAGCCATGCATAGAAGCCATTAATAATGTTACACTTAGCATGTCAAAGTTAGCAGCCATGACATACTACCAAATCACCATTTGACATTTGCTCATCTTCAGCTAATCCTATTAAAATCATATTTTCTGACTAGCTCATAGGCCTCCTGGGGACTGAGAGTGGTTGACAGCAGATGCTCTCTCCTGCCTGAAAAGGACAAAGCTGAATGTACAAAATCTAATAACCCCACCCAAGCCCACCTTGGAGCAGAGTCGTGCCAACTGCAGATCTGATCAATTTTGTGTGTCAGTTATCTGCTTTAGACATATGGCCCACATGTCCTGCCAATTATCCAGATGCAGTAAGCATCCATGTCTTCCCTGCGACTGACCCCTTTTCTTTCTCTTAGTGAAACCAGCATTTCCAGCTCACTCAGACTTGGAACCTCATTGTATCCTTCCCATTGTGTAGTCTCTCCTGCTCAACCCTTCCTTTAGGTTGCCAGATCAACCGTTCTGTTGATCTGGCAACATAAGATCAACTCATACCCAGCGGTCTCCTATTACCACCAATGTCTCCTCTTCTAAGCCATTCTACCTTCCACCAACAAATTAATCTCCCTAATCCACTTTTCTTAAAAACCTTTAATTCCCTTCAGGACTAAAGGGATACTCCTTAGCCAGGCAAAGTCGCCAGCAACCTGAATCACTATATTCTGCAACTTAACTGTTGCCACTTCCCAGCATGAACACTTTTTATTGGTGAATATCAGTATAACTATGTATGTTTATCAGCCCACTCATTTATTAATTTCTGCCTCTGGGCTCTTACTGACACCATTTGCCTTACTTAGAATAACGTTATCCCTCCACCTGCCTACTAAAATCCACTATAACTACTCCAAACCCATTCTTCTATTTTTTGAACAGCCTAGAGCACTCACATGTTCCACTCATTTAGCACTTAATTGTGTGCCACTTCATATCCCTCCATCTAAACTGTACATTCCTTGAGGGCAAGGCACTTCTCAGCATGTCCCACAGAGCTTACCAGAGAAAGCTGTTAGCGTCAATTAACATTCAGTTCATATACCTTGATGAAATAAAGCACAGAAACCAATGGCTTTCCAATTAGAGATTTTAATCTGTTTTTGTCCTTCGTTTAATAACTCTTCAACATTTCAAAGCATTTTACTAGTTTAGAAAAGCAGTTCAAGGAAGGAAAAAATACTATGAAATGAAGGTAAAGAGAATTTGGAAGAGAATGCTGGGCGTGGTGGCTCACACCTATAATCCCAACACCTTGGGAGGCCTAGCTGGGAGGCTCACTTGAGCCCAGGAATTTGAAATTAGTCTGGGCAACATGGGCGAAACCTTGTCTCTACAAAAAATACAAAAATAAGCTGGGCATGGTGGCACGTGCCTGTGGTCTCAGCTACACAGGATGCAGAAGCAGGAGGATCACCTGAGCCTGGAAGGTCAAGGATGCAGTGAGCTGTGATTGCACACTCCAGCTTCAGTGATGGAATTTGATTCTGTCACAAAAAAAAAGAAAAAGAAAAAGAAAAATGAAATGAAAAAAAGGGAAGAAACAAACAATAAGAGAGTTGCCTTAGAATTCTTCCCTGGATCTCTTTTTGCCATTTGCTGGGTACTGCTTTATATCACATCAGGAAAATAAATATCAAATGGAAACTCCCCAAATCTCACATAATATAATTATAAAATACCATCATCTGGATATGGAGCTAAACAAATGAAAATAAAAGACTTTCTTACTAACTAGGAGATGATTCTTCTTGGAAATCTCAACCCAATCTCTCTCTTTTTTTTTAAATGTCAACTCCATATGATGAGTAATTTAAAATACATTTTTAGTGACACGAACTAGTTTAGTAATTCTTGTTACGGTTTTGTGTCATCCTGAGAGTGTCTTCTGTTA